CCAGACTCAAGGAGGCAGCAGGAACTGACAGCATTTGGCTAAAGATTTCACTGAATCAAGTGACTAGGTTTTTTTGCTTCACTGTTATGATAACTTATTTACAATTAAATATTAATCTGCTAAAAGTTTCCTTATTTCAAAGACTAAAACTCACATATTTCAGCACTGAAAATATTTATATCACCTTAATTGCGTCTATAAATTTATATTGTATCAATATTTCCCAAATGCACACAGGAAATTTTGTGGAACAATAGTGGCATCTAGTGATCAAGTTAAAAATTAGCTATGACTTTTCATTAGTACAGTAAATGCTTTTCATTTATATTTTCTTCAACTGTGGAGGGAATGTAGTTTCATTTCTGTCTCTTTGGTATTATCTGAAACAAAAATGTATACAATGAAAAATAATATGCAAAATTCATTTATGAACAGGTTGTACTATTATAAACCTTTCAAACTGGATGTAAAATACAGTTCCTAATTATTACTTACACTGCCTCATATATCAAGGTAAGAACTTACCAAAACAACATTTGGAAATTAATGCTTTATTCTCTGAAGTAAACTGAAATACGTTTACTTTTCTTCAATGAAACTAATAAAATCCTGTCTATTCCAGTCGTGAGCAAAATGGAATCCAAAACCCAAAGACCATTTCTGCATTCACTTATTTTAAAATTATCACAATTCTAATCATTGTCATCTGCCAGTGAGTCATAATATAAATTTTGCCTTTATGTATTTCTATCTTGTGATGCAAGCTGTTAAATACTGACACATTTTGCCCACTGCAACCTTGTTCTCTGTCTTTCAATACCTAAATTACTAAAACGTACTTCTTACATCACGTATATTGACATTCAATTTCACAATGAACTCTGTGCACCATACTTTCAAGGGTTTAGGGATAAAAGTATAGCTTCAAAATCCTCTACTTGCTTCAGATCCATTAAGGGCCTTGCTTCCCATTCAAACATCCTAACCTGCCAATTGACTTTTTAAAAATATTTCTTTTGCTGTTACCCAGATGACCTTGTAGCAGATGACAAGCCGCAAAGTAAAATTTCAAAGCCAACTTAATTTAAAACATGCAGCAATTATCATTGAATACTGAGGCACCCGAGCGAAGAGTTGGCACTGTTTTTGGTTCTTTCTGCTATTATATAGAAGGTGCTAATGATGAACATTAGTGTTTATAAGCAGCCTTATACTGGCAGCATTTGGATAGGAAAAACCTATTTGGTTAGACTTTTTTGAGTTTGATTTTAAATGTTTTGTTCTGTTCCTTGTTGCTTTTGTAATGCCTCCCAATTTTACTCTTACAGTTTTAATACCAATCAAAAATGTTACAAAATCTGCTTTAGGCAATTTCAGCTGGAAAAGCAGATACAAGAAAGAATGAAGGTGTCTTGATCATAGGACAGTTCTGTGGAACACTAATCTCCCCCCCCCCCCCCCCCGGGTTTAAAAGAAAGCATGGATAAAATGTCTTTCCATCCAATGTTAGGTTCCCCCTAAAAGATTTCAATTTATTTTTTAATTGAATTATACAGATTTTATCAGGGGTATCAAACTCAAGGCCTGAAGGCCCAATCAGGCCCATAGGGTTGCCCTGGAAACAACAAAGGACTGACATTGGGCTGCAGGAGGCCATCACAGCTGAAACCGGAGCACAGGAGCGCATTTCCACTGGCAGAGTGCTCAAGCCACCACAAGCACCCCCGACACAAGTGATGTCAAGCTGGCCATGGCCACCCTGGCTCCCCAAGGTCAAACACGATCATGATGCAGCCCTCAATGGAATTGAGTTTGCCACCTTTGGATTAGGTGTTATATTAAAGGTGTAAAGAAAGAAGTGATTTATCTGGATCTGATTTTTTTACATTTCAAAAACCTGACATTTTAACCAGGGTGTGTAAACTTTTTGTAACCACTGTATAGTCTTTCTTCCATAAGCCCAAGACAGTGTATATATCTATATAGCACTCCCTTTTACATTTTTGTCCACAACTCCTCTATAAAATAAGTTGAGCTTAGAAACTGGCTAGCGGAGGTACCCAGTCAGGATGAACCTGAATCAGTCCAACACCTCAACTACCATTTCTTTACTTCTTCTATTTCATCTATGGAACTGAACACGATAATAAAAGAATTGCAAACTTCAAGTTGTTTCATACATCTTTTTTTCTTTCTGCATACACACACAAGTTGAAATAGAATTTTGAAACTGATTTTTTTTAAAGGAGACCTATAGTTCTGAAACACAAAGAAACATGCCAAGACAACACTAAACATCAGGATAGTTTAAGAATACACAGGGGGTTGGGGAAATAGAAACCATTGAGTGTATTAAGACACCAGGCCCAATGCACAGTAGCAGTTCCTCCATAGCTCACGACGAAGACCACCACATAGATAACTTGGGTGTTTAAGACAACTCTATGTCCATGCCCGCAATATTTCCCAATATGGATTACTCTAAAGCAATTTTTCTCAACCTTAACAAGTTTAAGATGGGTGGACTTCAATTCCCAGAATTCCCTTTAGTTCTTGGAGTTGAAGTTCATCCATCTTACACTTACCAAGGTTGAGAAACACTGCTGTAAAGTATTTGTACAAAACCTTCTATGACAATATTAAATCAGTATAAACATTCTTGATAGAAATGCTTGTTTCAAGTACTAAAAATGGTTTTAAGCTTTTAGATTTTCTATTGTAATTATGAACAGGAAGGGGAATAAGATTCTTATATGTTTAACTAAGAAAATGTATACATTTTGAAAAAGGAAGTAAAGCAATTAAGGATTTAAAATGAAATCAGGAATCAAAATTAAGATCAGGTCCATGTGCTTCTTGTACCAAGTATTATACTGGTTTCATGTTATGTAGAGACTAGCTCTTTATATGTGATGTATTAATTATTAGAATTATAATTCAAGATCTAAAGAACCTGAACTTTGACACATTTCCCAGAGCCTTCAAGTCAGGATGAGTTGAGTCCCCAGTTGATGAAATATTTCAATTCTGATTACCACTATTTAGCATCTACTAATGAAATGTGCTATTTTTGTATTGACTTACAATCCATTTAAGAGCAGATTTGAATGCCATATCCCAGAAACCTCATGTTACATTTCAAAAGCTCTTTGCCAAGAAGACCAGAGGGCTGTTCTAGATCCAGAACTAGATAAAGAGGTATTTAGATCCCAATAATTCACTGATGGTGATTTTGTCAATTTTTAACTGTTTTAAATGTAATTCCAGTGCTTTTGGAATAGCACCCAGTGTGCCAATTACCACTGGAATTACCANCTGCTGATCTAGCAGTAGCCTGCAGTGCTGCATTTAACCACTGCGCCACCTTGGCAACTGACCCAGTTACCCAGCCGGCTTTCCAAAAAAAGTAGTTGCAGCTTTGGTAATATGACTATGGTGTTCTTGAAGCCTATAGAAACATGCAACGTGCTTTTCAAAAACATGAGGGTTTTGTATATTCCACAGAGAATTTGGCATTCTGAAGATCTATTTTCCCCTTTCACGGTCTATGAGTGACACAGAAATGTTGAAGGTCCTATCAGCTACATTTTAAAGGTTTCATTTCTATATTTGTCATTTTTAATGTCAATTCTGCTTTCTCACGTATCTGATCCTTATTCAGCCACCTTCCAGAGCGTATTTGTTATCTTACAACAATCTATAGCATCTTTTTCCCCCTCTAGCTGCCATGTCTCTTGCCAAAAAAACCCTCACACAAGTCTTCTCCCTTCGTCCCAAGATTGGAGGTGAAACAAATTTGTACTCTTGTTTAGCAGACAATGAGGGTTTTTTTTGTTTTGTTTTTGTATGAAGCACAAATCAGCCAAGTGTACCTTCTGCTTTGCCCTTGAGGACAGGCTGTGTCTGCCAGTAGAAAGATTACTGTGCTTTCCACATGGCCAGCAATGCGAATAGTCGTGTCCGTCATCCGTTCGGTGTAAGAAACATCAAGCTGCAAATGTGTTTAGTATCTCAGCAAAGTCGTGATGTAATAATTGTATCAAAGTCACCCTCAGACCCCTTCCCCGCCCCCCCCCAGGTTCTAGAATTCCCAAATCCAAGCTCCACCTGTCACACTGCTTTCCTCAGAAAATGGAGGCGCCCGGATTGCAGTGCTCAAGCAGAGCTTAGCTCTCACCTCAGCCCTCGGCTGTGTTGCATCATGTCTCTGAGGAATGGTAATGCCACGGCTACTCTGATGAAACACTACAACTCACTTTGTTTTTGCCATCAGCTTTTTTTTAAAATTTTTATTCCATTTTACTNCATTTCATTTTAATTTTATTTGTATGCCGCCCTTTTCCCTGAAAGGGACTCAGGGCGGCTCACAACTCATTTTAGCCTTAGTTCAGTAGAATAGCAGTTAGTTCAAACAGCTTACATTTTGCCCTGATGATTGTTACTCAGATAGGCTTGCCCTACGTTAACTTCATTACTGGTTATGATTAGAGAAGGAGGGTATATATGTAAAGATGATTTTCTGGATAAGGACCTGACTTGACAAAACAGTGCCATGCCTGTTGTTTTACACCATTAGTGGCATTTGAAAAATCGATTGCGATGCTGCATTGATTGTACAGAACCTTAAGATTTCTCAGTATTTCCCAGATTTCTGGAAAGACAACTTGCCTGTCACCATTAATACGCCTGTGCAGTGCACAGCTAGAATTTTAAATAGCTTGCATACTTCACTCTTGGTTGTTCAGAGCTACAATAAAACTCTGTGGGCTTCGGCCAGTGCTCTTTATATCCTTGGAACATGCTCAGAATCCTGTCCAGTGCTTAAGAATTAAGTGGCAGGTATGTGTCAGTGAGGAAGATTTTGTAAGCTTCTATGGTGGAGGACACATTCTTCCAACAACATTTGCCACAGATACTCTGTAACATGAAGAAAATGACGGGAGACTCATCCTTGCTTCAATTTTCAAGTGGTGTTTCTGTTTTGCTTCCTTACATCTCAGCAACCTCCATCTTAAAAAGGCAGAAACAGCTGCGTAGGAAGAATGTGCGCTTCGACCAGGTGACCGTGTACTACTTTGCAAGGCGTCAGGGATTTACCAGCGTTCCTAGCCAAGGGGGCAGTTCCCTTGGCATGGCCCAGCGGCATAACTCTGTCCGCAGGTATACCCTAGGTGAATTTGCGCAAGAGCAGGAAGTGAATCACCGAGAGATCCTTCGAGAACACCTGAAGGAGGAGAAGCTTCACGCCAAGAAAATGAAGGTAGGCTTTTGGCAGGCAGAAAAGTCCTTTTTGGTCACTCATTTGCAGAGTTTTTGGTGCTGTAACTTGACCCTGTTTTGATTCATACGTAGCATTAGTGTCACATACCGTATTTTATAAGATGCACTGGAGTATAAGATGCATCAAGGTTTTGATGAGGCAATTTTTTTAAAAAAAAGTATACTTGTTTTACTATTGTCCCTGTGAGAAGGGTAGCTATAGAAATATAAATAAATACACGCTTTTATGGTTGTTTTTCAGTGCTGGGTGTTATTTCTTACGTTGGTTACATTTTTCTGTTTAGCTTTTAACCTTATTACTGTTCTGGATCTCAGTAAGCTGCTCAGAGTCGGACATGATTAGAATAGCGTATGAGCCTAGTAAAATAAATACATTCCCTAAAGCAGCTGTGTCTTTTCCTAGGATCATGTGTCTGCCCTCGTGTTCTGCCTAGCCATATCGATTACCCTCTTTTATCCATTCTTGGAGCATGAAGAGTTATAAGAAATTAATTAATCAGGTTATTCGTTCCAGGATTTTTTTTTCCATTTTATTTTAATTTTAGTTGTATGCCGCCCTTTTCCCTGAAAGGGACTCAGGGCGCCTAACA